GAACCCGGGTCGCACGCATGCCAGGCGAGCGCGCTACCGCTTGAGCCACATCCCCAGCCCACAAGGACATTCTCCTTGGGTCTGTGTCACTTGGTTGAACAGAGCCTTTTAAGGAGTTTGTGGACATGCAAGAGGAGGAAGGGAGCTGAGCTGGGGGTAGGCACCGTGAGTTGGAGTGCCTTGCGTAGTTGAGGAGGAGTCAGTTCAGTGACAGGTGGAGCCACGCTCGCCTTTCACCACCACCGTCCAGATGCCTGGCAAGAACAGCTTAGAGGAAGAGTTTATTTTGGCTCATGGTTCAGAACACTTAAGTCCTGTGGTCAGGGCCTCCTCTGCCCTTGGCCTGAGGAGAGGCAGAGCACTAGGTGGGAGGGCGGGGGCAGAGGACAGCTGCTGGGCTCTTGACCAACCAGGTGGAGTTCCCAAGGGCAGGCCCCCAGTGCCTTTCTCTTCTAATCATGTCCCACCTGCCTGCAGTCACCACCTAGTGAGTCCAGATCACTAATCCATTAACTAGATTAATCCACTGATGGTATTACAGCTCTCAGTCCAGTCCTTCCACTTGCTACATATCCCAGCACATGGACTTCTGGGGAACGTTCCTAAATCTAGGTTCCTAGATCTGGACTGTAACAGAATAAGCCAATAATCAGTCAAAAAGCAAACTAGCAGCTGGGCACGATGGCACATGCCTGTAATTCGAGCAGCTCAGGAGGCTGAGGCTGGAGGATCGCAAGTTCAAAGCCACCTGAGCAATTTAGCGAGGCACTAGGCCTCAGTGAGACCCTGTCTCTAAATAAAATATTAAAAAAGAGCTGGAGATGTGACTTAGTCGTTAAGCACCCCTGGGTTCAATACCCAGTAATCCCCCCCACCAAATTAATTTGTAGGTAGTAAAATTGAGTGGAACCAACCTCCTGGCTTGGAGCTCCGTGTGAATACCGTGCAGCAGGCGCTGTGGTCTCTGCTCTGGCAGTGGGAGTGTTACGAGTTGCTCTTCCTACCGAAATGTTTGTTTTAAAGTCCATCTTAGTGAAGCTACATTATGTGGCAATCAAACAAGATTTCTATCTGCTTCTGCAACACGGTGCTCCCAAGTGATACAAAAGAATAATATTGTATTGCTAAAAATTTTGGTGGTCTTAGAAATAGCTATGTGTGAAGTAATGTCAAGTTCAGCAGGGTAGACAGTTTGGGGAGGGGTCCAGCTTTTTTTCTACCATGTGACTTTTTTCTGAAGTCAATATCACTTCATGAAACATTCGTGCCACTTTAAGAAAACTGGACCAAAAAAACCAAAGGCTGAATGTTTTCTTTGATGTTTGGATGCTGATCCATAATGGGAATGGGGGTGGGGGGCATGGGAGCAATGGAGGAACTTTAGATAGGGCAAAAGGGAGGAAGGGGAAGGGAGGGGCATGGGTAGGAAAGATGGTGGAACGAGATGGACATCATTACCCTAGGTACATGTAGGTACCTAGGTACACGTAGGAAGACACCAATGGTGTGACTCTGCTTCCTATATCACTAGAGACATGAAAAATTGTGCTGTGTATGTGTACTCTGAATTGAAATGCATTCTAATTAAGTAAATCTAAAATTTAAAAAAAAGAAAAAGAAAAAAAACACTGGACAAAGAAAACTTGACCTCATAAATTGGTCTATTCTGCAGTGGCTTGACATGACCAGATCAGGACCAATACTTGGTGATACTCTTTAGATGATTGCTTTTTGAAGGTCAGATATAGCATGTCAGACTTTAGGGGACATGATTAAAGCAGTTCAGGCAGGACCCTCTGTAACCGCTCAAGAAGAGCCCAAGGTGCAGTGCCTGTGATGGGGTCCCCTCTGTGAGCTGGGTCCAGGCAGCACCTGGTGTCAGTCATCCACAGTGGTGCCAGCACCCCTCCACCCTCTGCAGAACTTCACCTCCCAGAGTGAACCTGTGCTCCTACTGTGTTTTGTAGGTTTTCATAACAGGCATATTCCTAGTTATTAAGTGTTCTTCCACAACATAATTTTACAATACCCCGTTTTTTAAAAATGGATGTCTTCATTTAGTTGTGTTTCTATGTCTGCTCTGTGCAAGGCACTGGGGACGCAGTGGGGACAGCACTGGAGCACATGCCTTGCTCCAGCTAGCTAACCATGAGAGGTGGGGTGGTCAGTCCCATTAGGCTTGGTACAAAGGCCTGGGAAAAAGTATGCACCGCCTTCACCAGCACAGGCCTGGTGGACTCTGCTGTGGAGATGGGTGGTCGGGGGAAGTCTCCGACTGTGACAGTTCTATACATTTAGTTTCCCTTAGTGATTGTTTTTGTTTGTTTTTTTCAGGACTGCAGGAATATGTGGAAGCTGTCTCTTTTCAGCACTTCATCAAAACACGGTCATTAATCAGTATGGATGAAATTAATAAAGAGTTGGTATTTACAACAGAAGACAGTGGAAAAGAAAACAAGACTGTGAGAACTTAAAATATTTCTTATTTGTATAGTATACATAATGGCTTAATGGTCGTAGGGGATGGACTAGCTCCATGTGGAGAAGATTGAGATGGGGCATGATCCATGTGATTTCAGATTCTCAGCCAGGGAAATAGGGCTTTTAAATGTTCTAGTTAGGGATAGAAGAGGAACAGCTTGGGGTACATTGGGAAAAGAAACAATTTTCTGCCTAAAGCAAACACTGTTATTAGTTCTTTTATTAACCTTGTGAGATAAGAATTATCACCTCATTTTACAGAGAAGGAATTAGGCTTTTAAAGAATAGCTAACAAGAAGTCACACAAGTCAGGCATGGTGGATTGCTTCTGTGATCCCTTTGGGAAGATTGCAAGTTCAAAGCCAGCCTCAGCAACTTAGCAAGATCCTAAGTAACTTAGTGAGACCCTGTCCAAAATTTAAAAATAAATAAATAATACAAAAGGACAGGGGTGTAGCTTAGTGGTTATGCCCTGGGTTTAATCCCCAGGACCAAAAAAAAGCCACACAGCCAAGTGGCAGCACTAAGATTTGAAACCAGGCATTTTGCATCCAATCCTCTGCCAAGTCTCTCTGCCAGAGCTTCTCAAAGTGAGCTGCAGTGGCCCCTTGTGCTAGGTGCTGCCTCAGAGCCTTGTTGGAGAGGCTTTGACTTGAAGCTTTGTAGTGAGGCCATGTACATACTCCATACCCGAGGGATCCAGTAAAGTCGTTGTTGCATAGTGAGAGCTCTGAATCACTTAGATCATGATGCTTATGTCTGAATTTATGTAGCTCTTGTGAGTTAACTTTTTGCAGGTAGATTTTTTTTTTTAATATTTTGTTTTAGTTGTAGTTGGACACAATACCTTTATCTTATTTTTATGAGGTGCTAAGGATTGAACCAAGCGCCCCACATGAACTAAGCAGGTGCTCTGCTGCTGAGCCACAACCCCATTCCCTTCAGGTAGATTTTTTTAAACAAGCACTCTTTCTTTTTTCTTTCTGGATTTTAAGATAGAAAGAACACTGAGGCAACAGGGTGAGCCCTTTTTCTTTTTGTTCGTTTTGGTTATATCTGACAGTAGAATGTATTTTGACATATTATATATACATGAGTGCAACTTCCTGTTCTTCTAGTTTTACTTGCTGTGGAATTACACTGGTCATGTATTCATATATGAACATAGGAAAGTTATGTCCAACTCATTCTAGTCTCTTTCCTATTCCTATCCCACTCCCTTCTCTTCATTCCCCTTTGTCTGATCCAAAGTACTTCTGTTCTATGAGCCAACATCCACATGTCAGAGAGAACATTTGGCCTTGGCTTTTGGGATTGGCTTATTTCACTTAGCATGATATTCTCCAATTTCATCCATTTACCAGCAAATGCCATAATTTTATTCTTCTTTAAGGCTGAGTAAAATTCCCTTGGGTATATATACCACATTTTCTATATCTATTCATCTGTTGAAAGGCACCTAGGTTGGTTCCATAGCTTAGCTATTGTGAATTGAGCTGCTATAAACATTGACGTGGCTGTGTCACTGTAGTATACTGATTTTAAGTCTTTTGGGTATGAACTGAGGAGTGAGATAACAGGGTCAAATGGTGGTTCTATTCCAAGTTTTCTGAGTAATCTCCATACTGCTTTCCAGAGTGGTTGCACCAATTTGCAGTTCCACAAGGAGGGCCATTTTGAATGATGTATCTTTTGACATAAAATTCTGATAAAAATTTTTTCCCTTTTTTTTGCCTTTTTCCCCTCCTTTTATTGTTTTTAGCACCAGAGAGTCAGGATAGGCAGGTGGGAGGTGGAAGGAGCTGCAGGAGTAGACTTCCTGTAGGTCAGCTGGAAGCTAGTCTGACACATGGGCCCATGTGGCATGACTGCCGGGCCTTGAGGGCCCCATGGCCTGCTCTGCGCTGCGCTGTGCTGTGCTGCAGTGGGTGATGCCGACTGAGGAGCTCCGCTCTGACCAGTGAGGCTCCTGCCTGCTGGCGAAGGGTGGTGAGCTGCCGTGAGAAGCAAGCGATCCTCTTGACCCTGCTTCTTAGCCACCTGGGATTGCCACAGCCCCTTCCTGCTCCCTCCTCCCCAGACAGGAGTGACCAGAGAAGCAGACAGACTGGGAGCAGAGCGCTTGCCGTGCCAGGATTCGGTGCCAGATGGTTTTAGGTCATGGTGCTGTGTCGTCATATGCACTGTCAGGTTGCTGAGCCTCGTTCCTAAATGGCATTTCCTTTTAATGTTGAGGGTGTTTGGTGCTGAGATTTGATAGGGCAAATGTTGTGCTCTGGTTTGCCTCCTGAGGATATTGTCAGACTGACTTAATTTAAAAATTACAAAGTCTCAAGCATACAGAACAGTACAGAGTAGAAAAAAAAGTGAGGGCCCTGTCCCACAAGCTGGACTCAGTGGTTGTTAGCATTGTGACATATTTACTTTTTCTAAATGTTTTTAATTAAGCCATTATAAATCAAATTAGCAATACCATGGTATTTCACCCTAAATACTATAGTATCCATCTTGAAAAACTGTACTTTAAATTTCTTTTCTTCACTAATAAATTTCAGGAAGATATTGCTGCCAATTTGTTAGTTGAAGTTTGTTAATTTTTAAATCATGCTTCTTTCTCTAAAATCAACTTATTTATAACCTCCATATCATGGTAGAAACAAAGAACTAATGTTTTCCTTAAGTTCATTTTTATGAATAGCTTTGTTTTAGTTGTAGTTGGACACAATACCTTTATTTTATTTTTATGAGGTGCTAAGGATTGAACTCAGTAAAGTAAATGCACTCATCTCCACCCCCCCTACCCCACACAACCTGCTTTTCTAAAAAGTGCCAGTCTCTGATAGGAACATGGCAGGTATTCACGATGTGGTTTTAAAGGCTTTGGAATGCACTCTTCTCCGAAGAATAGTGCACTAGTTCATCAGGTTATGTAAGTACAGTTCTTACCTGCCCACCTGTGCGGTTCCCGCTTCCTGCAGTCTCGGCTGTAGTTGCACCGTCACCTAGCCAGGGTTCATAGAGTTTAGTCTGACGTCACCACTACAGAGGTGACCCGGAATGATGTGGAGAGAGGGTTTGCACTTGGATGATCGCTGCCAGCACTGAGTGTGTACTTGTGTTGGAGCATTGTGCTGAGAATGGGGTCAGTGCTGTCTCATTTTAATCCATAAAATAAACCTCTGAGAGGGTCCTGTTATCCATATTACAGATGAGGAGACTGAGGTTTTAGATATGATAATTTGCCAGGTGCAGCAAGGTGCTGGAAGAGGTGGGAGGAGATGCCTCGAGGTCCTTGGAAGTGTTAACCTCAAAGCAAGAGGGACCACTGGCCTGTAGGAGGGAGGGCGGAGCACCTGGGGGTGCAGTGAGGCTCTGTTGGCAGGAGAGGCGATGCCAGGGAGTAGGCAGCTTGCTGACACCAAGAGGCTTGGGGTAGAGTGGGTTGCTCAGTGGAGTTGAAGGTTGGAGGAATGTTTAAGGAGGCTGCAGAGGGAACCGCCAAGGAGCGCTGAAAGAACTGGTGAGTAATTCCTAGTGGAACACACTCCACGTGGTTATGATCGCTGCACTCATCCTCCTGAGTAAAGGGTCCATGGGCAGGTTTTAGTATTGATTCCAGGTTCTGATTTCATAGGCCGAGTTCAGGAAGGACGCAGGAGTGTGAGGGAGCCGGGGTGCTGCAGCGAGAGGCCCCCAGTCATGGTGGTTAATGCTGAATGGAGAGGAGCCAGCTGGCTTGGGAAGGCTGCATAATTGTCAGTTGAATG